AGAAGAGCAGAGGTGGGTCTAATGCCAGCCCAGGGCTGGCCAGGTCCGATGGGACACTTTAAACCACAGGGGAGTGGTACGTCTGAGGTCAAAACTGGCTGTTTCTCTAGAGAGCTGCTCTAGGGCTTACATGGGGGAAGTGTGCTGCCTGGGGGTCTCTTAGACTTGAGTGCAGCCCATTAACTGCCACTCCCAGGCTCATGGCACAGTCTCCCCCCACCCATTGTTTCAAGGTGGGTGGTCAGCAGCCTTCAACCTCGCCCTCTGCCCAGCCTGGCGGGGTGGGGGAGGAAGAGCTGCAGCTGGATTGGCCACCTCAGGCAGGGTGGGGAGGTTTCTTGCAGCAGAACTTATGAATAAGCCTCATTTGCCTTGTAAAACCAATTTGGCTCTTTGAGGGAAGATCCCAGCCCTGGGCCTACGTGACACAACCCTTTAAAGACAGGGCCAGGCTAGGAATTCCCCATTAGCATTCAAGTAAACAGATTCACAGCTGGAGTAGAGTCCCTAGCAGCCCCTCACAGCAACTGGCCTGGTGCTTACAACTGAATTCAGTCCCACACAGGTCACTGGCCAGTGGGGCAGGGAGCCCAGCCCCTCCGCCCCTGCTGGAGCTGAACTGGCAAAGACGCAGCTTTGGCCTGGATGGAAGATCTAGGTCTCCCCTAGATGGCACGACTGAGGATTATCCCGCTCAGCCCAGCAGGGCCACGAGTTCCCATTCAGCTCAGGCTTCAGCAGAGTGGTCCCCGGGGTTAGTTTACTCCCCCTCCTCCCCCATTCCAACTTGCCTGTAACACCCAGCAGCAGGCACTTGTCTGCCCCCTCCCCCGCTGCTGTCACAGGGCCCAGCGTGACCCTGTTGCCAACACATTCAGCCCTTTTTCTTGCATTGCACAAGACACCCTCCCCCAGAGCCTCAGCTTGGAACAGGCCCCAGCATTTCCCAACCTGGCCCATCACCCAAGGCCGTGCCCATCAGACAGACCAGACATTGGCCATTCAGCATAATCTTTTATTGCAATGAAGTGTCAGTGCCCAAGGCAGGACTAGGGAGCCTGCCAGCAACAGCCACCAGCCCAGAGAAGCCTTCCTCCAGCACATGTACGCCGAGCTTTCGGGCCTGTCTCACCAGCAGGCTGGCTTGAAGACAGGCCGTCATGGGGGCCGGATGGGAAGACTCCGCAGGGAGCAGGTGAGCGCCACTGCTAAGCAGAGGGAATGGTCCAGTGTCTCATTGAACAGCTTTACAGGTAGTTAGGCAGGTCCTTCTCAATCAGCTGCAGAGGAGGAAACAAAGAGGTGCTGCCTGTCTTGAGGACACATGGAGACCCCCTCCCCCCAGTGTCCCATCAAAACTAGCCCCTGCCTGCTGAAACCAGGGCTCTAGACTGACAAGACATCCCCCACACAAGCTGTAGACCCTGCTTCCTGCCTGGCTCATTGTCATCCCTCTGCATTACTTCCCGGCAGAGGCAACGCCCAACCCACTGGAGGGTGCAAGGGCAGCTGCCCTGCTGAGTGGAAGGACGCCAGGGTGTTCACTGCAGAGATGTTCATGGCCAAGGTCATGATGCTCCCTCTCTTCTCCCCCCAGGTACATGACTAATAGCAAGAGCAGTGCCAGAAGCTACTGGCAGAGCACCCTTCTCCCCCGGGTTTGGGCCCACTTCATCTGTGCTTGACACAGGCTGACTCACGTATGGATCTTCCATGGGGCTGTATCTCTTCACCACCTGGCCCTCCCTGTCAATGAGGAACTGTGGAGTTAAGAGACAAGAATGAATAACCCTGGACCCCCAGGAGAGCTCTGCCCTGCGGGATGCCAGCGCTGCAGTCACACCCGGAACACAACAGCCCAAAGAGCAGCAGCTGGTCTAACTCCCCAGGCAGCAGAGGCCATGGATGGAGAAGCAGCTTGGTGGGCACCTGGAAAACAGCACGATCCCTCCCTGGTCAGTCACAAGAACTGCAGCCCCTTCCCAGAGCCTTTGAAATCAGAACTCCTGATGTGGGAGGCCTCTCTCAGGGTGCTAAATACCAGTTAATTGCAGAGTCAAGTAACCTCATGAATTCTGTCAGTCAAGTCTATAGTGCCCGGTTCAGGGGCCTTTGATAGAGGCAGCAGCCCCGGTCCAGGGGAGGGGGGGGGGGGGGGTCTGAACTCCCGGCCCGCCTGGTTCCGAATACACTTTAAATGCAGAGCTGCAGCAGGGGGTAGGCCCCAGGCCCAGCGTGAGCCAGAACTGAGCTAAAAGAAGAGTTAGTGGTGCAGGGGGAGGGGAGGAATGCATAGAGTCTACAGCATTAGCCAATATACTTTTGCTATTACATCCCTAGGCCTCATCCCCTCCCCTCCCCCCCCATGCTGAAATGCAGCCACCTCATGCACACGGGGAAGACGGAGGAGCCCCGGGAAGGAGTGAGGTAGAATGTAGCTGGGCAAGCTGGAGTCTGGCCAGGACACCCGTCACTTAGAGCATTTGATCTAGGACCTACACAAGGGATCAGGGCCTTGGCTGTGTGTCTAGGAGTGGCTGGGCCCGTGCAAGACAGGCATCTTACTAGGCTCCCCACCTCTTCCAGTGGTTCCTAAATGTTTCTTGAAAAATCTCCCCTCTTCCCCCCTGCCACTTAGTTTCTTGGATCTTACACCAAGAGTGGTCAGGCCATGTTAGAGGTTAAACCCCAGTGAAGAGAGCAGCGTCCTACCTTTGTGAAGTTCCATTTTATTGCACTAGGGAGGAGAGAACACCAGTGAGATAACAGCGGTGATACAGCACTGAGAGGAGCCACCTCCCACCCCAGCCCCACCCTGCTCTGCCTCTTCCAGCAGCTTCCCAATCCCTCCACCCCAGTCCAGCACATAGCCCAGCTGCTAGGTAGCCTCACAGCCATGAAGTGGGGTGGGCTTAAGTCTCCTCTTTGGTTTCATCCCAAGATTGCCCGCTTCCTGCCCCCTCCCTCCCCACATCGATGGGACCAGCTTCCTTCCACGGCTGCTGCTCCCCGGGTCTGTACTCACTTTCCCAGGAGGCCTCTTCCCTTGGGCTGCTCTTTCATCCATTTCCAGAGAGGATGTGCGTTGTTCCCGTTGACCTCGATCTTGCTAAACATGTCAAACTTCACCCCATAACTTGCAACAAACTGTTTGATCTGAGACTCATCTCCAGGCTCCTGAGAAGCAGAGAGAAAGGCTGCTGTGTGACGCAAGCGGTCTTGCATTGTTAGGCCATGACCGACTACCCAGAACCCCTGCCATTTGGATTAAGCCCAGCACCCAACTCGGATTCAGAGGGGCAGGTCTGGCTACGTGGCAGGCTAGGGGACAGAGGAGAAGTGAGCTGCCTGCTCTGAGAATATTCCACTCACTGCCAGCAGGGAACATGGTTACTTGAATACAGTTGGGTTTGGGAGATGAAGCCACACAATCCACTTGGATGCCTGGCAAAGCTATGGTTCCATGTTCTAATGGGCACTGAGCCACCCACAGCCTCCTGGTGCCCCAAGAAGCCCAGCTGAGGACCTCAGCAAGACTGGGTGCATTGCCCCTAATTGGTGGGGCAGCCAAGCATGGAAAAAGTCGCCACGACTGCTTCTCAGACATGTCAGAGCGAACAGGCCAAACACGCCTATGCTGAAATAGCTAATTACTACCAGCAGATAAGGCAGCTGCATTATCAGAGACTAATTGCTTGGGCTACTTGCCAGGCCCATGCTAAGGACAGAGCCAGCCCCATGCTAGGGAGAAAGCTGGGCGTTTCCAGAGCTCCGGGGGCAGGTCCCTGGGCTAAGGCTCCCCCTTTCCTCGGTGGGCAGAGGTGCCCCCCACCTGTTTTCCAAACTGGTTGCAGGGGAAGCCCAAGATGCGTAAACCTCTCTCAGCGAGCCGGGCGTACATGTCGACCAGCTGAGTGTAGTTCACGGCCGTCTTGCCTCATTTGGAGGCCACGTTCACGATGATGCAGACGAGGCCCCTGAGGAAGACGCAGGCGTCACTGGGGTGGGGGCCGGCCCGAGCATCCCCCTCCCCTGGTTCTCGGACACGGTCCCCGGCCGCAGGACCCCCCCCCCCCCCCGGCCAATCAGCGGCCCCGGAGGGCGGCCCCCCGCGCGGGCTCACGTGAGCGCCTCCCCAATCAGGAGAGGGCGGGGCTCCGTGCGCGCCTGTTTATCCGTTTGCAGCAGTCAGAGGGAGGGGAGGGGTCCGGAGGAACAGCCCAGAGTACACCAGGCTCAGGGGGGGGGGGAGATGGGGGGTGGAACAGCCCAGAGGGCACCAGGCTCAGGGGGGGGGGGAGATGGGGGGTGGAACAGCCCAGAGGGCACCAGGCTCAGGGGGGGGGGGAGATGGGGGGTGGAACAGCCCAGAGGGCACCAGGCTCAGGGGGGGGGGGAGATGGGGGGTGGAACAGCCCAGAGGGCACCAGGCTCAGGGGGGGGGGGAGATGGGGGGTGGAACAGCCCAGAGGGCACCAGGCTCAGGGGGGGGGGGAGATGGGGGGTGGAACAGCCCAGAGGGCACCAGGCTCAGGGGGGGGGGGAGATGGGGGGTGGAACAGCCCAGAGGGCACCAGGCTCAGGGGGGGGGGGAGATGGGGGGTGGAACAGCCCAGAGGGCACCAGGCTCAGGGGGGGGGGGAGATGGGGGGTGGAACAGCCCAGAGGGCACCAGGCTCAGGGGGGGGGGGAGATGGGGGGTGGAACAGCCCAGAGGGCACCAGGCTCAGGGGGGGGGGGAGATGGGGGGTGGAACAGCCCAGAGGGCACCAGGCTCAGGGGGGGGGGGAGATGGGGGGTGGAACAGCCCAGAGGGCACCAGGCTCAGGGGGGGGGGGAGATGGGGGGTGGAACAGCCCAGAGGGCACCAGGCTCAGGGGGGGGGGGAGATGGGGGGTGGAACAGCCCAGAGGGCACCAGGCTCAGGGGGGGGGGGAGATGGGGGGTGGAACAGCCCAGAGGGCACCAGGCTCAGGGGGGGGGGGAGATGGGGGGTGGAACAGCCCAGAGGGCACCAGGCTCAGGGGGGGGGGGAGATGGGGGGTGGAACAGCCCAGAGGGCACCAGGCTCAGGGGGGGGGGGAGATGGGGGGTGGAACAGCCCAGAGGGCACCAGGCTCAGGGGGGGGGGGAGATGGGGGGTGGAACAGCCCAGAGGGCACCAGGCTCAGGGGGGGGGGGAGATGGGGGGTGGAACAGCCCAGAGGGCACCAGGCTCAGGGGGGGGGGGAGATGGGGGGTGGAACAGCCCAGAGGGCACCAGGCTCAGGGGGGGGGGGAGATGGGGGGTGGAACAGCCCAGAGGGCACCAGGCTCAGGGGGGGGGGGAGATGGGGGGTGGAACAGCCCAGAGGGCACCAGGCTCAGGGGGGGGGGGAGATGGGGGGTGGAACAGCCCAGAGGGCACCAGGCTCAGGGGGGGGGGGAGATGGGGGGTGGAACAGCCCAGAGGGCACCAGGCTCAGGGGGGAGGGGGAGATGGAGGGTGGAACAGCCCAGAGTGAACCAGGCTCAGGGGGGAGGGGGAGATGGAGGGTGGAACAGCCCAGAGTGAACCAGGCTCAGGGGGGAGGGGGAGATGGAGGGTGGAACAGCCCAGAGTGCACCAGGCTCAGGGGGAGGGGGAGATGGAGGGTGGAACAGCCCAGAGTGAACCAGGCTCAGGGGGGAGGGGGAGATGGAGGGTGGAACAGCCCAGAGTGAACCAGGCTCAGGGGGGAGGGGGAGATGGAGGGTGGAACAGCCCAGAGTGAACCAGGCTCAGGGGGGAGGGGGAGATGGAGGGTGGAACAGCCCAGAGTGAACCAGGCTCAGGGGGGAGGGGGAGATGGAGGGTGGAACAGCCCAGAGTGAACCAGGCTCAGGGGGGAGGGGGAGATGGAGGGTGGAACAGCCCAGAGTGCACCAGGCTCAGGGGGAGGGGGAGATGGAGGGTGGAACAGCCCAGAGTGAACCAGGCTCAGGGGGGAGGGGGAGATGGAGGCCACTGGGGTAGGCCCCCTGGGGCACTAGTGTCTGTCCTGGGGGGAGCTCGGGGCCAGGGGCTGCCTGGGAGCGGGTGTGTGACAGAGCCAGGCAGGGCTGTATGATAGTTTGGGCCCTACCGAATGCACGGTCCATGTTGGTCCATTTGTTTCTCCGTTTACAGAGTCTGTCTGTCCGCTCTAGAACCCTCCCAAGCAGGAAGACCTAGGACCTAGGGCCACCACATTTGCAAAGCAGCTTCCTCTTATCATCCCTTCCAGCATCCACAGGCCCAGCAGGAGGGTGTCCCTGGCCGGGCTATCCCGAGAAGCTCACACCCTCTCCCATAAAAGAAGAAAGAAACAGGGAGTGGAGCGGAAGGTTGCACTTCTTTGTAACCTAGACCACAGACAAACCCTGTGTGGCCCAAAGGTTTAAATAGCACAGAAATCCAATGTGGAGAAACCACCCAAAATGAAAGCGGGCGGGTCTGCGGTAAGAAGAACCTTCCAAAAGCAGCGTCCAACCCCTATTATTAAGCAGCCCTTGCAGGAGGCAGTGTTATTAAACAGCAGGTTGGAACACTTGGATGGGAAAAGGGTCATTCAGAGTGAAATTGACTCGGGTCAGACTCCAGCTGTCGCTTTCTAACGGCTGAATTCTAGGTAATAGCTAGGAAGAGAAAAAGACGTGGAGGAAAATTCTAGTTCCCTCTCTCCCACCTGCTTATTTGTAGCCTTGTCCCTGTGGTTGCATCCCCCAGAGACTTGAAGTGACATAGCAGGATTCTGAATAGAATTAAACTTCCATTTTAAGACCTGTAAAGTGAGTGAGCTGATGTGTAATAATAAAATCACCTTCATTTGGGTGGCCAGCTCTTTGGAGGCCAGAATTAGAATTCAAAACAACTTGGCCAAATTGGAGCATGGGTCTACAATCAATAATAAAGACAAGTCTTTAAACCCAAGGCCTGCGGGCTGTGTATTGCCCCCAGCTTGCCTTGGTCTGGCTCACAGCGAGACTTGAGGCTTACAACACCCACCCCCCAGCGGCTGAGCTGGCATTTCAGCCCTGCAGCAACTCTTCAAACTCGGCACCCCTCAGCCCTCGCATGGCTGGAGCACGAGCTGACTCTGCCGTGGCCTGCGATGTGCAGAAGCGTCAGAGGGGAAGCCGAGTTTGTCTGAAACTGGAGAAACTTAAAATACAACGAATAGTCCTGCAGCATCTTGGAGACGAACAAAACATGGAGCTGGGATCATGAGCTTTCGTGGGCACAGCCCACTTCTTCAGATGACTGGAGTATTGAAAGTCCAGATCCAAGAATAAATAAGGGAAGGGGGTGGGGAGAGAGGAAGGAAGGAGGGGAAAAAAGAGGAAAAAAAAGACCGTGAATAGATTAATTTAAAAAACAACAAATAGTCTGGCAGCACCTTAAAGGCTAACAACACCTGTCGATGGGATCATGGTATGAGTGAACAGATTGTTCAAGCTACAAGAGGCTGATAAGAACAATTAGAAGCTCCATTGGTTGGCTGGTTAAGTCATTAGGATTGGAAGGTCGTGCACAAACCAGCTGATTCTCTGTTCATTCCATTCTGATAACAATCAAACTTGTGAATAAAGTCAAGTTCCAACCCTTCCCTGTGTATTTGGCTTGTGGAATTGGCATGAAACAACACAGTGACTTGGAGATCCCATTAATGAATTCCCCGGGTAGGTTAATGTGTTCCTGTGTGTTGCCTTTTCGGAGATCTGATTTGTGTCCATTGATTCTTTCCCGTGGAGACTGTCCAGTTTGGCCAATACACACGGCAGAGGGGCATTGCTGGCATTTGATGGCATAGACCACATTAGTGGATGTGCAGTTCAATGAGCCCGATGCAGTGGCTGATGTGGTTGGGTCCAGTGATGAAATAGCTTGCGTAGACGTGTGGGCAGAGTTGGCGCCAGGGCCGATCCTCGCCTACAAACAATCCCCTAACTTCAAACAAATTCTTTCCAGTCACCACACGACACACCTCCATCATAATCAGCCAGGAATCCACCCCTGCAATCAGCCCCGGTGCCAACTCTGCCTATACATCTACACCAGCAATTTCATCCCTGGACCCAACCACATCATGATACCATCTACATGTTTTGTTAGTCTTTAAGATGTGCAGAAGGTCAGAGATAATGGTCCTTTCTGACTTTTAAATCTGGGGGTCTCTAAGTAAGTGAAAATGACTTCACTTAGGTAGGAAAAACCAAAGGCTCAGCTGTAAAATGGAGACTTGCTAGCTAAGGGCTTGTCTCCACTTACTGGGAGATGGACGCTGTAGAGTTTGATGTCCTCGGATTCAAATTAGCATCACTAGTAAGGACCCACTAAATCAACAGCTGATCGTGCCCATCAACTCCAATATTCCACTGAGTTGCGAGGAGTAAGAGAAGCTGATGGGAAAATTTCCCAGTGGGGATGCCATGGAAATTCGACATAAAGTATGTCGACTGCAGCTACACTATTCACGTACCTGGAGTTGTGTCTCTTAGGTCGACAGTCTCCCGCCGTGTCGACCTGGCCTTTGGCAGGATGGCTGAAAAGGATCTGGAGGCTACAGAGAATCGCAAATTGAATCTGAGTTAACAGTGTGATAGAACTGCACAAAAAGGCTAATATTCTGGGGTGTATTAACAGGCGTGTCATATGTAAGACATGGACGGTAATTGTCCCTTTCCACTCTGCACTGGGGAGGTCTCACGAAAGCACCATGTTCAGTTCTGTGGGCACCTCACTTTAGAAAAGATCTAGACTCTCTCCAATTTGATCAGAGGGGGAAATACAAGGATAAAAGGTTCAGAAAATGTGGCCAATGGGGGAAGCTGAAAAAAACTGGGTATGCTTAGTCTTGTGAAAGGAAGAGTGGGAGCGCAGGGGCTGATAACAGTCTTCCAATATCTTCAGGGCAGGTATGAGGAGACAGCCGATCAACTGTTTTCCACGTCCGGTGAACATAGGACAAGAAATAATGGACTTAATCTGCAGCAAGGAAGAGTTGAGGAAAAATTCTCCAACTATAAGGGCAGTTAAGCTCTGCAATAGGCTTCCAAGGAGGAAAGGGGGCGGGTTGTGAATCCCCACCACCGGAGGATTTTAACAACAGGTAGGACAAGCACCTGCCAGGGGTGGTGACTTTTCAAGGTCCGGACATTGCGATGGTTCTGTGATTAATACTACGTGGGAGTCTGAAGTAGAAAGAGTCAAAGGGCAGATGGAACATGGTTTTAGTTCATAAACACGGATTGTTTCTGTTCAGATCTTTCTAAGCCCTGCTCTGCCAGGACAAAAGGAGGACCAAGGAGGCATCCGCTCTGCAACTGGTAGATGGAAGAATAATGCAAGTTGGAAGAGCCAAGGGCCTTGGGTTGAACATTTTCAGTGCGTGCTTAGGGAGGGAGGCTGAATGGTAGCTTTGGATCACAGCATGAAAGCGTAAGAAAGAACCCAGTAGCATGGGATGCTTGTCAAGGGTTCTCTTTCTGCTTCTGCCAATTGGTCTTGTCTCTCAAAATTGCGTCAAATCCCCCATCAAAGGGCTTTTGATATGAGGCGTGTGAGAAATTGCAAGCTTGGCTTTGCCATGATAAGGCGCTTTGATCATATGTCAAGAGCTGAGACGCTCAAAACTGGCATCAAAACCAAGCAACCGGCACTTGAAAAACTGGCTCCACCCTCCTGCTGGGAGGCAGAAATAATCTTTCCCAAGTTAAACTGGCCAAAGCCAATAGAGGCC